TTTTTCTCGACTGACCTCAAAGGTATCGGGAGTGCTGGTTTCGGGGTTTCATCACCGTATCCAGCTAAGACCAGCAAGTCTGTTGAGACACTACAGATTCATCTTATACAAAAAATCATCACCAGCAACACTTCTTCGTCGCGCTGCGCGTCCAACAATTTGGCGATCGCCTCGCACTGGAGGCGCGTCCGCGCCTTTCTTTGGGCATGAACACGTCGACTCTTTTCGTGGTTTAGCAATCACATGTTGGACTGTTGGGCGGCGTTTCAGTTTGAACTTGAACGTACCTTTCGATTCAGGGGGCTAATCGAACTTTGCCTTTAGAACGTCTTGTGTTGGAGTGTGTGACTCCTCAGGTTTTTTGCATTTGGCGTAGAACGCTGGTCAACTAAATCAACTGACCACAACTTTGCATGGTCAAGTCGGCCCAAGACTTTATCTGGGGCATGTCACGTACCACCGACAGGGAATGATCGAGCTTCACAGGCACGGGCTGAAAGGGGCAGCAGAGTTGCGGTGGGCACTGCGCGCAAGCTTTGGCGCTCAGATTCCCGACGCCTGCGGCACTTCCTGCGCCATGTGCCCCTGCCATGGTCAGTAGCTCGGCGAGGTACCAATGCCCCGCGGCGTCCGCCGCCGCGCCGAAGACCTTGCGCCCAGGGCCTGTGGTGTTGGCGTAGCGGTGCCAGTGCTTGGAACCCTTGCGCTGGGCGAGATCGGTCTCACCATCCAGAAAGAGCGGCATGCAGACGAAGGCCTCGTCCACCGCCAGGACCCGGCCCAACGCAGAGCTCCTGAGGCTAGCGGCTAGAGCAGGGGTTAATGGTTGCCATGGTTGGGGAATCATTGATTGAATCTAGGGAAAGGGTTGACAATGGCTACATCAGTCAATGTCTTTTCATCTTTATACCTTTTCTAGAAAGCGGTTCTGTCCGACTGGCCCCCAATGCGTCCCCAACCTCAGATCTTGCGGAAGCTTCGCCAAGAGCTCTTCGACGCTTCGATTCCAGATCTGCGGCCGTTGTCGGTCTGAACATTGAGGGTTGCACAGTGGGAAAATGAAGGGGGAGAGTTTCGAGAGCGCGAAAATGATTTTCCCTTTCTTCTTCTTCTTGAAATACGCCGGCAGCGTAGAGGTGAGTACAGGCTGATACACGAAGGGTGGTTGACCGTTGGTCACGTCAGGCCCATCATGCTGGATGACCAAGAGATCAGGCCCTTCCCAAATCAATCTTTTCAAGCGTTCAAAGGCCACAACGTTCCTTTCCTCCGTGTAAAACCAAATGCGATAGTCTTGAAATGAGAGACGCAAGTTGCCCACTTCGAAGTCTAACCATCCCCAACATTTGACGTTGGTCCCTTTGCCCGGCGCATCCTCTATGCCCACGAAGCTTTGCCAGGCTTCAGGCACAAGTTGGTCCACCAAGGCTTGCAAAGCTCCTCTCATTATCGAGTTGCCTAAGATCGCGAGCCACAGTGGCTTGGTGACCTTCTCGTGAACTTCAGCAGGAGTGTGGACATGCCAGTGGCAGGTCTTAGACACCAAGGTCCATCCATCACGAGGACACCCCCAACTGCACAAGCCACTGCTGGTGCGCACCCAGCGCCCTTCCAAGGCGTCCACTCCTAACTTACAGCGGCGTCGTGGAAGTGGCTGCGGCGCTGCTGGTGTGACTTGCAACTGCCATGGGCTACCTTGAGCTTCAGTGAAGAGGAAGGGCTTACCTTGGCTTTGCTCATTCAGCAACCGGGAAAATAACACATCTTCCATATGTTACAGGCTTCGCCCAGTTTAGGAAAATCACCAAAAAGTATGTAAATCTTGGGCTAAAATAGCTATTCATGTTCATGTGAGCAATGATTCGTTTTAAGGTTTGCATGATCTTCTTCGCTTTAAACATGTTTTTTATTCTGAGACTTGTCATTCTACAGTATGATTAGTTTTCACCTTTAGTACCTTTTATCGACGTTCTATTTACTCTTTTTATTGCTCTTACCTTCTTCCTTACGCGCGAAAGCGGCTCTTTTCTTGAACCTGAATGCGACCTGCGGTAGTCGAATGTGAAACTTGAGCGCATCTACAAATGTCAAGCGCTCCTCCTTTGGCGGCGGAGTTAATAAGTTAATTTCATTGTAAGTAGCTGTTACATCAGAGCAACTGGCTGTCAGGAAAAGGTATGTTGAGGAGCTAAAAGAGCTACGCGAAGTACAGCTTGAGAAAGCTAAAGGTGCTATGCGAAACACAGCTTGGCTGGTTGAGAAAGCTCAATGAGCTATGCAAAGCATAGCTTGAGAAAGCTAAAGGAGCTATTTACGCAAACATACAGCTTGATAAAGCTAAGAGAGCTACGCAAACGGAGAAAGCCACGCATTTGGAAAAAGGTTTTGCTTCACCAGAGGGCGCGTTTATAAAACTCTGGTTGGGTGGGATCACTCGAAGTTATCTTCTACTGGGTGAATTCTGAAACATCCATTTCAAAGCAATAGTTGACATGTCTTACTATATTAATGTGGGCGCGCTTCTTGGTCCTCCAGTCAAAAGCTTTTCGTAAGGTGAGAGGTGCTGACGCTTCAGTTTAGATTGTGTTCAGTGCAAGGTTCCGCTTACAGTCAGATTTCGTCGCAAGACTTTTGAATAGCATTTGCAGATTTGGTGGGCAAGGTTTACCAAGGTTCCACTAAAAGCCTGATTTCATGGCAGGAACGTTGAATACTA